TTTAGATATTTGTAGAGAATATTGAGTTCTTGTAAGAGAAAGTTTTGAATTTTCTAGCAATTCTTAAAGTTCGCTATATTTGTTTTTGTTACCCAGAAAAGATTATAAAGCAGACGCAAAGCATAAATCAGGTTTCCCATGAACGCTTGAACCTTTTAATTCATTATCTATGTACCAGCATTTACTGTTAATTTGACATTTGCTAACGAGGGAAAAAATTGGACCTAAATGTTTTTTCATTTTCTTCTTCCCTTCTCTTTTTCTATTTTTATTAATCCTCAAAATAAATACGAGGTAATGGAGAAAAAATGCATCTTGAAACTGTTTGTCTAGTTTTATTATGAATCGTACTTATTATGTATTACTTAATTATGTATTATGATAGAAATATTTTTCCGTCTCAGTGATGAACTCGGTAATTTGAATCAGATGGGAATTTAAAGTAATTATTTATGAAATGGGGAACTTAAGACAAAATATTAATAAGCTCAAGAATAAAATGCTGTTGTTTGAATAGATTTGTTAATAACAATACGTGAACGAGATATTATATAATATTACAATTCTATATATTATATATATTATAACAATTCTAATGCCTACAAATAAATATTTATATTGTTTAAGTTTCGCGAGTTTAAAAGAGCATGAATATAAGGCGTACATTCCATTGCAAATGTTGCAAATTTTCTGTTTTCTGGTGCATCGTAAGTTTTCGATCTTTCTGTCATAGCTTCAAGAAAAATTTTTCTCGACAAAATGCGCTGTAAACTATGTATTTACATTCTAGGGGAGTGTTGTTATCTAAATCCCAAGTAATAAGTTGCAGTATTTGTCTATTTAACATTCCAAGGACATTATAATTTATCTCTGTTTTAAATTTCAGTATTTGTTTTATGATTTATGCCTATGTGCATTTCAAAAAGTCAGATTTCTATTTGCATATCTGATACCTTTTTGCATTTAAAAAAGTCAAATTTTCTCATACTCCAAGAACGTAGATTCTTGGGTTATAGCTATATCACAGACTTCATTTTCAATCTTGCATTCAGAGAAATAGGGAGTAAAATAACTTTCAAATTGTCGTTACAAACTTAAATATCATTACTTGATGTTATAAGGAAATATTTTCCTATAACTTAAGTTATAGGAAAATAAGAAATAACTGAAGTCAATCTGATTTTTAATTTGTTTAATTAAGTAAAATCCAATCTTTTCATGACATTAACTTCAAATGAAAAGTCTGAATGCATTTCCACATACGAACATCATGGTCCATTTACGTTAGCAGTATATTATTCTGCGACTTTGGAAATGTATGCAATAATCTAATTAATAAATACAAAAGAATATTATTTTTCAGTTATACTACGAATTCATACTCTGGCTAAAAGAAATGGTATATTTTTGACTCCTTACAGGGTAACACGCCATTTTGTGACCCGATAAATACCCATTTCTTAAGATCGAAGTGTAGTTAAAACAGAACTGTCTAGTTTGGCTTTTGTGTTCTTCTTCCAAGACATCAACATTATTTGGCAAGTTAATTAATAAAATTAAGCCAAAGGGTTTGCACTCTCCGTTAAGAAAACAACAATGTGTTTCGCTTGCTTAACGATTATCGGGGCTAAATTGTTGCAGAGAAGAAAGCTACAGGGTATACCGTTTTCTTATTCGAGTTTTACTTGTTTTTTTATCTGCCTCCAAAAGAAGCGTATTCTGTAATTAGTCACAGAAAAGTCGATAAAATCGAACGAATCAAGGTGCAGGAGAAAGAAAGAAAACTTGAAAGAAAGAGAAAGGCTGTGGAAATGAGAAGCCTTCGTAATGGCTTCCAAACTGAAGCTATAAGGGAAAGCGTACTTTTGAAAATAGGTCATGTCAAGTCTTAATTTTACTTTCAGTGACAGGAATAAATGAACGCAGGCGGAGTTAAAATTCAAGCAACTGTCATCTGTTTTATATAGTCTTTATAAACACGATGCAGCCAGGGTCTAGCGTTCCCGCAACAACCACTTTCCCGCATGTATCCTTCGACGCTTTTGGTCCCAAATGAAGTTATATGTAAATAACTTTAATTATTCTCACGTATTTCAATATCCAAACCATCGTTTATTTATTTATTTATTTATTTATTTATTTTTTTGTATCTATAATATTCTGCTTTAGCATTTTCCTTGTGCATCGTATAGATTATTTTTTTCCAAGTGAAGTGTGTACTTTTTTCCCTTTCTCTATGTACTATAAATCTAACAACAAATTAAACCGTTTCACCGAGATTTAAAAAACTTTACGAAAAGTTAAAGCGTTTTTCTTTGCCCAAAGTGGAAGGGATGCGAACCGTGAAAACATTTTAAGTCTCGAAAAGTCTTAATTTGGGTTGAGGCAAAATTCAGTTTAGCAAAGGATAAGTACGACATCTTTATTGCTAAAAATTAGTTATTTTATTATAGTATATCCATGGTAAAAGGTAATAAATGTTATATTTTTACAACATGCTATTTATTTGCAATGCTCCTTGACTTATACTTTTCTTCATTGACCGTTTATTTCTTCTCTCCCACTGGAAAAAAGAATAAATAGATCGACTTACTATTGTATAAACACTGACAGTGCTAATGATCTGACCACTGATCAAATAAATATTCATAGGTTTACTCAAATCCTACGTAACTCTAATGAAACATTGCGTCTACTTAGAAAGCAAAGAGAATATGCCTTTGAAGATAGAGATAATCAAAACGCGTTTTTATCACACATTTCAAAAGACATAATCATTTAATATAGCAGAATAGTTAAGTCTGAAGTTTGCAATCGTATTTAAAATAAAATAAGTTAACAAAAATAAATACTTTACATTTTTCGTTGAGGATTATGACACTTTGAAAATGAAACTAGTACCTTCTAAAGTGTAGAAATTAGATAATGCTCAAATTATGAAGTGCATTTCGAAAGTATATTTCGTAAAATGTACTCGATTCATTTAATTTGATATACAGACACCTTAAGAGAAAAAAATTGATTAACTGATTTTCAATGGTATAATTAAATTCCTTAATTTATGTATTTATAATTATAGCTTAGTTCGCGTTTTACTTATTTCTTTTGTAATTATAATTACACATTTTGCTTCTTTAATTCTCGTTATTTTCGTTATTTTTTATTTTTTATTTATTTATTGTTGTTGTTGAAGATCTTTCTATGTATGAGGGATTAATACACAAGTATGTCTTTAAAATCAAACCTGGGCAATTAAAGAAATTTTAATTGCCTTTTGGATTTTCATTCGTGTTTAAATTGATACCAGATAGTATAGGATTCATGTAATCCTCTTTTATTTGAACCTATGAAAAAAAAAATTACTGAAAGGAATTATGACATTCCATCTTCCATTACTTTTTAAAAAGGTCCTCCTTAGCTCTGGCAGGAGCTTGCATGGAAAAATGATTCTGCAATCTGGCCGACCCTCCCCATGATTCTTTCCACTAGCCCAAGAGTAAAATGGAAATAATCCCGCTTCGTCGATGAAGTTTCCTCTCTTTTTTTTTTCTTCCTCTTTTTATGTAAGTGGAATTTAAGATGTGCGCTTCCGCTAATGATCGATCCGCGGTCCATTTAGAAATTCAATCGAATGAAACTCTCATAATCCGTCTTCCGGAAGAATGATTCTTTTTTTTTTTTTTCGTTTACACCTTTTTTAAAATTAAGTCTGATCGAGAAGTCTTTCTCAGATTAATATCGTTTACTTTCATTTGCCAAAGCCTCCGCATTTCCCGTCGAATCGGGATCATCGATTGGACCCGGTTGTCATTTACATTATTCATTCTGCAGCCTCGTCAAAGCTTATAAATTCCACTTTTACGTTGCTGGAATCTTATTCTTCTCATCGTAGACTTAATCCTCGTGTCAACTTGCTTCAATCCCTTCCTCTTTTCTTCATTTTTTTAGCATCATTGAGGAGCAACGACGTCTTCTTTTGCTTCATTTCGAGCTTTCTCAATTTTCCGCCAAATGTTCTTGCTTTTCATCAATCAGCAATATCTCCTTCTCGGCGCATTTTGAGCGTTGTTTACCCCCACATCCTCCACAAGTCCCCCCGTTTGCCTGCTGTGGAGTTTTTTTTTTCGTTCTCTATCTCCATGCAGCTCGAGAGTTCCATTTTCGTTCTCTTCATTTAGCTGCTTTCCCCCTTCTCAGTGAATCCCCGGCCTTACCTAACCACCGTCAACAATGGCCAGGCAGCGAAGACAAACACGAGCCTAGACAAGACAAATGTGCGGCTTACGGGCGACTTAGCAATCCTCGCCTGCTGTGGGGAGGGTCACTTTCCAGCCTGCGAATTAAAGGCACGCTCACAGTGTAGAAAATAAATGCGTTTATTTCGGAGGTTACGTCTTCGATTAATATATAGCCTCATCCAGGAGAGCGGAGCCAATAAAAACGTGCCAAATCACTTACGAGAATTAAACTTAATCGCCAGCTTCGCCGATGGGTTGATCGAGAAAAATTGGCAGGGCCGTCTAATGGAGCGAAACCGCGGCAAAAAGGGGATTTGCCCGGATATGGGAACGTCACGGCCCGGTATAAATCGCTGACTCTCAAGACCAGAGTTTAATTCTTTAACTACCTTTATTACCTGGACTCTTCGCAGCCCACCGTGCTCCGTCTTCTTGCTGTCCTGACGTCACCAGGAATGACACTTGCCCAGCTTTCCTTGACGAAGGGTTTCCCTTTTCTTAATGGTAAAAGTTTGCCACTTTTCTGCTTCCACTTTCGAATTAATCAGACTTCCCTTTGCTCCAGGTTCCTAATTCATAAGTCTTCCCCAATCTTCGTCGATAATACTCTAGTTAGTTTGAGAAAGGAGATTACTCCGCTCTTCTATGGACGGCTCTGATTTCATTTTAATAATTCCTTCCATTAAGCAGAATTTACTCGTGATATGAGTTCTGCATTTCCGAAAGTCCATCCAAGGTACTATAAAGCCTAGTTCGAATTAGAACGAATTTAATGGTACAATATTCTTAAATATATTTTAGTCCCAGGTCGCACTTTTAATACAACTTAAAAGACTAAGTGAAAGAGAAGCTGATTTGTTTTTGAATATTTCTGTTTTGTAATTGATGAGAACGTATATGTTAAAGACCAAATTTTGCAACTCATGGAAATTCAGGCAATCTATGTATATCTTTTCTGCCATGCTGTTAGTTAAACAACAAATAAATTCTATTAAAACATTATATCTTATCTTAGATGCTGTAACAGTTATTGCGAAAGATGATCAAGCAAAAGACTTACGATTATTCCTGTAAATGTTCATGTTAAGTGATTTATGTTTCATTCAGTGCTAAATAGCGTAGATGAAGTTTCTTTGTCATCTTTCACGATTAAAGCAAGTCGTAATAATTTAGAACATATAGATTTTTTTCCTCATTTCAAAGATAATTTTTGTAATTATTTACATATTTACTGTTTGAATGAAAAAAATTCATTATACTCTGGAAAATATATTTTAATGAACTTGATAAAAGCTTATATCATGCATACATAACATAAAAAAATAATAACTATTTTTAAGAAATGATACGATATATTTATTTGCCTATGTAATATTGAAAAGAAATTATTTACTGATTTTATAAAAAGGAGACAATTAATCAGACTGTGAAGCTTAAAATAAGCTTTCTAAAAGAAATTAATTAATTTTAGGCAAAATTCAAACTGTACGTTCATCGAATACCATTGAATTAGCTTCTTATATTTGCGTTACCTGTCTATGTTATGCGGTAGCAGTTTTAGGGCCTTTGATAAGAATTATAATTAAATGATAAACATATATGTGCTTATTATTTTGTATATTTATACTGTTTTTTAAGACGTCCCAAATGTATTGAAGCTGATTCTCATAGCAGTAAAGGATTTAAACTTAAAAAAAACGCTAATTTTAATTACTGAAATAATAACTAAATTGGTAGTATCGGTTCAATATAATTTTCTCCTGTTTTTTCAGATTTGAAGATACTGCACATTTTTATGAAAATCCTACAAGACAGAATGAAATTTTTTTTTCGGTATTCGTTCCAGTCTGAAAGAAAATTTGGATGCGCTAGAATCAAGACTAAAGTCTCAAGAATGAATTCAATTTCAATCTTTCGTATCGCATTTCCGTGCTATTCTGCTTTCATAACCGTTTCTCGAAGCAGCGATTTTCTGGCAAAATTTTTGAAACGGCCGAAGGGCAAAAAGGAAAGGAGAGGAAAAAAGTAAAGTTTTTCATTTCGAAAAGGAAAAAAAAAACTTTGTAAAATAAATAAAAATAATAGCAATAAATAAATAAATAAAATGAAATAGAATTCGGTAGTATTGTGATAGGATGATGAAGGGGTGGAAAAGAGTGGTCGGCCCGCGATCCATCAAGGCAATTGGTTCTCTCTTTCGAATACGGTTCTGTAAATGGGATGCCGCTCGATGAAGTATAGAAAGAAGGTCACCATCCGTCTGCAACTCACGCGTTTTATCACTCATATTCTCCGTCAGTAGGGGCGCGATGGCCAAAGTCAATCTTTTAATAAAGGGGGTGCCTCCCCCTTGCTGTTTTTGTATTCGGCTCCCAGCTCCAGGCTTGGCTTACGCAAGAGGCGACTTTCGCTGATTGATACCAAAATGGAACGCCCGGCAAAGGATAATTTACTGAGTCTACGGCGGAAGGAAAAGAGAACTACTCTCAAAAAAGGGTAAAATCGGGGAGGAAATTGAATAAGCGATTGAAAACAAGTAGTAAGCTACCAAAAAATAAAGGAACGGGGTCGCTTTCAAAATAGCACTTTGCACCTCTGAGTAGATTGCTCCTGGATTTTATTTCTTTCTGCTTTATACTTGGGTTCGTATTTTTAAGGAAACTGCAGATAGGCTCTTCTTCATAATACGTTAGATATTTCCAGCAAATTCTTTCGGAACCGGTACTCCGTTTTTAGCGTGGTATTTTTATTAAACTACCAAAACGTTCCGATATATTCTTGCTTCTAGTTCAAGCTGTATATTAATGCAGTGTGCTTACCAGCGGCCAAGGAGTAAGGTCGCTGAATCCTATTAGTTCGGTCCAGGGTTCGAATCCCGGCGAACGAGCTGACTCTACATGGACGCTTTCATGGGTTTCCGTATATGTAGCATATACACGAGCCAGTTTCCCTTAGAAAGTTCTCCAGGAAGGCATCTTTCTGTTTAGGCAGACAGACCTCGTGTGCTTGAATTACATATATGTAAGAAGTCATTTCGCAGGTGTAGATAGGAAAATTTTGCTGGCGATTGGGGAAGGAAAACAAGGTTATATTTCTTGAATTTCTTGTCTTTAGCCAAGTTTCAAGTACTGCCGCTTCATTAAGGCTGATTTTGATGCGTCGACTGATTTTGAACTTTACTACTAGTCCTTTTTTATTTAGCCGGCGCCTTGATAAAATGCATATGTTTCCTGACCCCTCAGTTTCATTAACAATGGCATATACAGTTTTAGATTATTTAATTTATATTTAGACAAATAATAAGCATAGCGAAAATTGTCATAAATCCAAGTAAATACGTTTGGTTACACACAGTTATTCTTTCATAGTCTAGCAGTTTATGAAATCCCACTGAGATTTCTTCATCTCATTCTATTAGATAATATTTATTTACTTTTTAATAATTTAAAACCGAAAATTACTCTCTTTTGATACCTCAATCTTAACCGATGTTACGGATCATTATAAGGCTATACTTTTAAGTATGAATCGACTTTGAAACTTATTTCCTTAATATGAATTCATTTATTGTATAGTTACCCATTATAGACTAACTCCCCTCTAATATTGCTCCATCTGTTACTCTTATAATGAGGGCCATAATCGTTCGCTAACATCCATCAAAATTCTACGTGAGTGAAAGCTTAGGGGGGAATGAGCGGGGCACTCATAGTTCCTATTCATCCGATTCATTACATTGTTGCCTTACAGCGATGCCCTTTTAACTGGAGATGAGAAGGTGTCGCCGTTGTTTGAGGAAACAGCATTTGTCAATTAGTCACATCCGAGGGCACACTCCGATATTATAATAATCCGCGTTCCGCTTTACTTGCCAGGCACATTTATTTCGCTCTCAGAGAGGCGCCTGCGATAAATCAGAATGAAACTGAGAATGTTTGTGCAGCGGATAGCTTGTCGAGGGACTGTGACCATTCTAAATATCATATTCATCAGTCACAAATTCCATGATGCAAAGCTAGTTGAATTAATGTTCGAAATATTTTTAGGCGTTCCAGAGCTAATTTATTATTATTACGGCTGTTACCATTATTGAATGATGTACATACGTTTGAATATTACAAAAATTAAGATGTATATATATGTAAATCAATATAATAGTGTGTAAAAAGTGTTGAAAAGCCTTCCCTGAAAACAAATATGATTATGTGGATTCTAAAACGCAAAGACTTCTGGACTGAAAATTTTCATAGGATTCTAAAATATTATCAAAGTTTATATTTTTCAATTATTTAAACAATTATTTTGTACAAAATTTTGTGATTTGTATATTTCAAATTATTTCTCTTCATTTGCTAATGCTTTAGCGTTTTATTTCTTAAAAAGGCTTTTCTGTCGCCTTTTTTTCTCTTTGAAGGGGGGGAGGAATATGTAAATCAAAATTATAATTTAAATTAGCAAGAGCCTCTTAATTTCTCATTTTTAAGTCGGGTATTTTCTCTCATTTGTTCTTAAAAATAGTAATACGTTTCCTAGACTGCGTCACTTCTAGATCAATTCATCTCATATGACTTGCATTGACGTAGCTAATTTGAACCTCCCACCGAAACTTTCTCTTAATGAATCAGCATGCTGCCATATTGGATAACTGCCTACTTTGCTTTTTACCGCTGTTTCTCGCTGCTTTCTTCCTGTCGCAACAGTATCAAAAATGTAAATTTCCTTGAACTGGCACTATTACATTGTTGAGTGAATTGTGGCCACTAATGTCAATTGAAATATAGATGAATATTTAATTCGCCTCGGCAGCCGAATTCCTCTTCATTACTGCCTGGCCTGAATCTTTCACCGATAAATACTTCATCTTCGGCAGATATAATATTTAACGATACCAATATACTAAAAATCTTAAGCGCCATTTTGTAAATGTATCCACTCACGGTATATCGCTAGGTATATATATTAAGTATACTTCAATTCAAAGCGTATAAATTATATTTTTGAATGTAAATGGTCTGTATAACTGGGTAGGCTTTCAATGCATTTCGCTAAAAATCTTAGTTGCATCATATGTATTTGATCTGTCTGTAAATTGAATGCAATTTAGATTTAAGTAAATATAAGAAAATTTTGATTATGCAGAGCACTGTTTTCCGTCAGTTTCTGTTATCCGACAATCACTAAAGCATTCCAATGAATCGAAAAATGTAGAATAAAAATTAAAACATTAACTCATAATTTAAGATAGGCCTTATTGTACAGTAAAATATACATGTTGTCGCACTTTATTTACGATGAAAGGGGAAAATACCGTTTTAAAGAACAGAATGCTGCAAATAAACCGACAGAAAAAAAATTCCACAAAAAATCCACGTGTAAGTTAGATACTCACGCTATATCTTAGCCTTTACGAATAATTTACTGGCATCGTGTAAAACTTCCTAAATTAACACATGAAATTCTAACAGAAATTTCGTCTCATGTAACTCAAATAATAAAAAAATTGAGCTTAAAGTGGGACAAGTAATTCGTATTAAAAGGATTTGATGTTTATCGTGTTGTAACTAGAGGCAATTTTGAATTTATTCTCACTGTACTTAACAGTAAGTAGTTTAAGAAACTACAATATTGCCAGTTTCTCGATTTTTCGTCCTTATTATACAATGTACTAGTTTAAAAATTAAATCTTTTTCTATTTTTTATTGTTATTATACTGTGTACTACGTTAAAAATGAGTCTTCTTCCTCTACGATTCCGAGCCTGATGGATAACGAAGTTCCGCTGTACTTGAATTTGATAATCACAGAGCTTCAGGGTGAGAAAAATTAATATTTGTTGATTCAGTATCCATATTCACACGGATGCCCGCGTTTTTTCCTATCGCTTGCATTTGCAGAATGTACGTAGGTAGATCCAAATGCTTCGCGCCTGATATAATTCTAAAAAAATCAAGACAACTTAATAAGTTTTTTTTCTTTTTTTCAATAATATCTTCTTGCACTTCGATACACCTTTCACATTGTTTAATAAACAACTCTGTGCCCCTGGAAAAGTAACCTGAAAGTTTGTCTCCAGAATTACCATTTTCACTCCATCATCATCATTAAATCTCCTTTCAAGAAAGTGAGATTTTAGTTTGGAGAGCAAATAATAATCACTAGGAGCTAAATCTGGGCCAAGCTCCTAAAATTAACGTTTATATTTTCGCATTTCAATCACACGACATTTTAGAAGTGGTGTAGCCAAGCTCCTAAAATTAACGTTGATATTTTCGCATTTCAATCACACGACATTTTAGAAGTGGTGTAGCCAAGCTCCTAAAATTAACGTTGATATTTTCGCATTTCAATCACACGACATTTTAGAACTTCTGAAGGAAATCGGAATACTCATTTTACAGAGACTTTTTTCGTGTAAAAATGTTCATGAAAAATGCGAAAACGTTTATTTTAGATAGATCCAGTATTTCTGCTCTCTATTTCATATTTAATCTCCTATTTATTTCTCTTTAGATAAGAGACGTTTTTTGCCGTTATCTATGCCTCCATTTGTCCACATTCTTGGATATCATCTTCTACAGATTCTCGGCCCGGGTGAAATTGTTTTGCCCATTCTTCACTGTAAAACAGAAAGGAAATGGATCAGCATGCAAATGTTCCTATCGTTGTTATATTTTTAAGATATCCTTTAGTTAAAATGTAATCATAGAACTCTACTTTAAGTATTTCCGAAAAAACTAGCACAACACTAAAAAAGAACACATACGATTTCTCTAACGGAACTTCCAAATTTATTCATTTCTTTGCACTAGATTTCTGGAAGAGGAATTTATTGCCAAACAATTTTTTTATATGTGAGGCCGGTAACTTTTGATGTACCTATGTAATTTGAGGTTTTGATATTATCTATGAACTTAAGATTTTCTATTTCATTTTCCGTAATAATTCATTTAATGAAATGATCATTTCTCATTTCTAACAGTAGCTCTGTTAAAAATTTTATATTAACCCAGAAATGCGTTGTTTCTTTTCAGGTTCTTGTTCTGAATCGGGCGGAGAAGATGGAGGCATCGGAGATGAGCATGTATGCGGTAAATGTCGACTAGAATTTATAGATCTGTCTGACTTCTTACATCACAAAAGAACATGTACAAGGAAACGCTTAGTTCTTGTAGCTGGTGACGATAGCTGTGATGAACTTGGAGGCGATGAGCATAGCCCTCCATCTTTGGACGGTAAGGATGATCCCGAGAAATATGGGAGAGAAATTCCTGCTATCCCATATCTCATGTCCTTATCGTATGATAAACCTTATTTCCAGGAGACTTCCGTCACGCCTCCTTTCATACACGAGAAAGGATCCTACACGGAATGCGAGGATCAGCCTTTAGATCTCGACAGCTATGAAAAACTAGATAATTACGCAAACAGTCCGAATGAAAACTTTGCAAACGAAACAAAACAGAAAGCAAATGAACAAAGTTCCTTTGCAAACCCATCGTCTCTACCTCAGTACCTCCTAATGCAGCCTGTTCCTGATACAAATGTCACTTTACAAGCACTTCAAAATACCAGAGTAGCAGTGGCTCAACAAGGAGCTGGAGTCACTAATTTATCACATATTGCTCTGCACACGGCCCTGTACACCTTGCAGCAGCAGCAGATTATTCAGCTTCACCATGTTATCCAACAGTTACAAAATCAGTTAGTTGGTTCAGCAACTTCTGCTTCAAATCCGTTAATATCTAATACTCCCACAGTTGGATCGCTAACAGGCTCAGCAGCACTTACACCACCACAAAGTACGGATGGTAATAATGGAGGTGTTTTGGCATTGACGACAACAGCTTCATCATTACGAACTCTCGAAAGCGTTACGCAAGCGCAAAATTTATCTATTACCACTTGTACTACGACAACTTCGACAACATGCAGAAGTTCAGCATCAGCAGAAAATGTAATCACGATGACACAAGCGCCACCACCTCCTCCCCCACACGAGCCAAATACTTTGGAATTATTACAAAGACATACAGAACAAGCTTTGCAAAACACAATGGCAGGAAGCTCATTTTTACTAAATGGGTTAAGTGGTTTGGGTAACAGTTCTGACATTTTACGGTTTTGCAAAAAGGGTGATGCTAAAAGGGAAGGCAGCGAAGAGGCTTTCTTTCGCCACAGATGTCGTTTTTGCGGCAAAGTTTTTGGTAGTGACAGTGCTCTTCAAATTCATATAAGGTCTCACACTGGTGAAAGACCATTCAAGTGTAACGTGTGTGGCAATCGTTTTACAACCAAAGGTAACTTGAAAGTGCATTTTGGAAGACACAAGGAAAAGTATCCACATATAAAAATGAATCCACATCCTGTTCCGTTACATCTGGATAATCTACACCCTCCCTTAGAACCACCTGAAGCTTCAGAGACTCCACCAATTATTGCTCCAGGATCTACTTGCCAAACAGTTGCATTAAGCTTACAACCACCAAACTTAGTACCAGCTCAGCCATTACCTTTAGTCACTCATTGTCACGATAAAGGATTGCAGAGTCCAACAGACGCTACAATTCACGAGACAGGTCGACAATCAGAGGATGTGCCGATGCATTTACAGCCTAGAAGTGTGTCCCCAAATGAAGTGTCAAATTTGTCCGATGAATCGGAAGGATCAGTTGGAGAAGGATATGTCACTGATGACAATGGTATAAAAGATCCTGATCAGTCACGTTACGAGGAAGAGATAGATAATGATGACGACAGTTTTTCCGCTTCCCCCAAAACCGAGCAAAAAGAAGCGTATGACAATGCCTTTGATGATACAAAAGCCTCTGCTTCGGAAAATAATGCTGTGATGCGAACAGCTCCATCCATTCCTTCCTTCATAAGCAGTTCAGCACCAACATTCCCAAATTTTTTCCACCCTTCATTATCACCATCTTTCAGCATGGCTCCTATCTGTTATCCGCCTTTGTCTACTCCTCCCTTAACAAGTACTCCAACATCACGGCCATCTGGAACTAACAGTGGTAATAATGATGGCCCTGAACAAATTGGTCCGTCTCCAGATCCAAATTTCTATCAAGATTTGTTACCTAAGCCTGGTTCAAATGATAATACTTGGGAAAGCTTAATGGAAGTAACGAAAACATCGGAAACTTCGAAACTTCAACAATTAGTTGATAATATAGAACACAAACTAAGCGATCCCAACCAATGTGTAGTCTGCCATCGAGTGTTAAGCTGCAAAAGTGCATTACAAATGCATTATCGCACACATACAGGTGAACGGCCATTTAAATGCAAAATCTGTAGTCGTGCTTTCACCACGAAAGGAAACCTGAAGACTCACATGGGAGTTCACAGAGCAAAAGCACCTCTTAGAGTTTTACACCAGTGTCCAGTGTGTCATAAGCAATTCACAAATTCATTAGTTTTGCAACAACATATTAGAATGCATACTGGTGATCCAACAGATATGCACCCTGAGCAAATCATGGCAAATGAAGTGAGACAAGGTCATCTTCTAGCTACCTCATTCCCTCGGCCAATGATCCCATCTCTATTGCCAAATTTTCCTTCACCTTCATCTCTTCCATCGCATACCTCACCAGCAGCTCCACCGGCCATTTGCCCAACGTCCAAAACTTCCGATACAAGTTCATTAACTCCATCTCCAGTGCATTCTTCAACTCCAACTGAAAGTGTAATAAAAACTACTTCAAAGGCGAAAGAAAACCCAGTGATTGAAGAACCTGCATCTCCTGTAGTAACAGAAAGCTCTTCTCCTCCACCTTCTGCTAAAACAGAAAGATGTGCGAGTCCTCAGCCTCTAATTCGAAATTCGAATTCTTCACCAGAACCTACATCTATTTCAACTAGAGTCTCTTCGCCTAGCATGGACAAGCCAATTGTTACAACTGCTCCCTATTCTCCTGCATATACAGCTTCCCTAGTAGCTTTAGAAAATCATGTTAAAGCAATCAATACTACCATTCCACAACCTTTACCATTTTCACCATTTGGTATGGGACTCACAATGAGCGGTTTTCTAAGATATGAAGATGCCGCTTTCATGAATCGAAATCAAACAAAAGAAACCAACAGCGATAAATCTCCTGCTCCTATCCATTCATATTCACCATCCCCAAATACAAGTAGGGCTGGGTCTGATGCATCAGCTGATGAAAGATCAACACCCGGCTCGATGGCAAAGTCAGAATCTCCTGTCTCTGTTAATGGAGCTCAAATGCCTGTATCTTCAGGTGTCATTACTGGAAAATCAGAAAGTGGTGCTTTAGATCTGACTCCTAAAAATTCAATTTTATCAATTCCTCCAACAGTGCCAGAAATTCAGCTTTTCCCTTCGCCGTTAGCAGGTCTGCCTTTCCCAACGACACCCGGAAGATTATCAACTACTTGTCGTATTTGTTTCAAGACATTTGCTTGTAACAGTGCATTAGAAATACATTACCGTAGCCACACCAAAGAACGTCCGTTCAAGTGCAATGTTTGTGACCGCGGATTTACTACGAAAGGTAATATGAAGCAACATTTATTGACACATAAAAGTAGAGACCTTCAGCCTTTATTATTTGCATCTGCTGATAATTCTGTTCCTGATAATGAAACGAACTCTTCTACGAATGTCATAAGCCCGCGAACGTCCAGTCCTGTAACTTCTGTCGCTTCAGCTAACGAATCGAATTTGAGCCAAACGAGCAATCCAATTAACGAAAAGAAAGAACTTCCATTATCTACAGTTGGAACGAATTCTTTGCCGATCACTTCTTCAAGCGTTACTGCAATTATTACACCAGCGACCCAACTCGCACCTACAGTGCCCACAACTACCATACCAAAGACTATTAAAAACGAAAGTGACTCAGGTTCGAAAAGACCACTGTCCGATCACAGCACAGGAGGACCAGTAAACAAAAAGAATATACCAAAGCATTTCTGCCATATCTGTCAAAAACCATTTTCAAGTGCTAGCGCATTACAAATACATAACAGAACTCATTCAGGAGAAAAACCTTTCAAATGCGTAGTTTGTGGACGAGCATTTACAACTAAAGGAAATTTAAAAGTGCACATGAACACACATATAGCGGAAAATAGAGGGACTTCGCGACGTGGAAGGCGAATGTCTCTAGAATTTCAACCTCCACCTCTTACAGCTCATGGAAAACCAGACTTCCCTCATCACGCGCGACCTGACCTCTACTTCCCTTATCTGCCCCCTGGATATATGAACGGTATCGCAGGACCTCCAAAAATGAATGAAATATCCGTCATCCAAACGGCCGCAGGCATCACAAACGGCAATATAACTACCCCCAGTTCCATGAATTTAACTCCTGCCGTTTCTATGATGACCCCAGTAATGACGATGGGCCAACAGCAACCCTTTATCCGGAAACAAGCACAGCATAACATAGATAATGATAATACTGATTATGTAGATCCGCGTTCTCCGGATGAAGCTGAAAATCTGAAGGTTCAACCATCACCGAGTCGGCCCCCTGAGAGTGCTTCGCCAGTGCGTCCGTTATTGTCACCTCCTACAGCGGATAAAATTGCCTCTTGGAGCTGGAAAACAGCCTGCAATGTTTGTAGCAAGATTTTTTCATCATCTTCCGATTTAGAAATGCATCTAAAATCTCATTGCAATCCTACAGTACAAGACACTGTCAGGTCCGTTTCACAAACTGCCAAGAACCTCGCCTCGTAGATCTTTTTTCCTGCTTTTGTTTGAAAACATTTTCCGACTGAAATCATTTTTCATTAAACAGGATGCTGATTTCTTGCTTCTTTTTACGATCCGTGCCAAGGAAATGGCAAGGAAAATTCACATTTTGAAATAGAGTATGTCAAAACAAGAAGTCTGACTTCAAATACAACGGGGAGCCTTTAAAAATCCTAGACGTGTTTGGAATTGATATACATACGTTACTATTATCCCTCGCTTTTTTTTTCCACATACACGTCCCGGATGATGAGCGGATTAACTTCCCTTTCCGACCCTTCCTCCTGGTCTGCTAGGCACATGACCGGGAACATTGGTTCCTATGATAACTAGTCCAAAGGCTTGCACCCTGGTCTGCATATTTCAAACATACATAAAAGGGGAAAAATAAACACTGTGACCTACGAATAGAAGCTGTTAATATCTGTTTAGGTGGTAGCCATTGTGCAGGGTACTCTGCTCCTTTGTTGTACTTAGTATTATTGCACATTGATGGGTGTCAAGTCATGCCCATTTGTTGGAACTATTTATGTACAAGTAGTAACCTAATATAAACTGCAAGGCAATTTACACAACTGCGTGACTGTTAGTTAAAATATACTACGCTTCGTATGTGTTATCATTTTTCTCCCTGTGTGATTGTTATAGTTTGTCTAAAAACAAACGTGGAAAATCATTATCATAACAAATTATCGTGAAATGCTTATGCAGTCATGTTCAAATTCTGATTGCTTGCAATATATTTCATCTCACTGATTGTTTTTAAATTATTGTACTTTTTTTGTGCTGTGAAAGGAGGTGTCTTTGCTTTTCTATTTTGTAACTTTTGAGCAGTCAATGTGGCAGATTTGTTTCATAACACAGTATGATACTTTAGAATTAGAATTTACAGATAAAACCATTTTCAAAACTAAACGATCTCTGGTAAATACAGAGCTAAGATTTCAACATTTTGCAAACTTATATGCAGTGATTTCCACTCTTCCATGGTCTCTTTACTGCATTTTTATATAAAATTTTGCCTAAATTATTTAATCCCATAAAATATCATATTCATAAAGCAATTAGAGTAAGTACAATTTCTATAACTAAAGAACATTTTTGCGCCTGTACAGCGCGTTTATGAAAGTCCTGAAGTAATAGAGAATAAAGACAACATTCGCGTGAAATCGAAAACCTTAGATATAAATATTTCACGTGCTTTGATATGATTATTGACGAAATTGTTACCTACTTCATTCAAAGAAACCCACTCTTTCAAATATCTCATGAGTAAGGTTGAAATATTTCCGAGGTCGTAGCGAGTTATTCCTGAGGTTCTAGACACTCTCCATTAGGTTAATTGGCACTTTTACTCTAAAACGCTGAAATGCTTATTATGTTGCTAATATTCAAATGATTAGCATTAAGTATGTCACTTCTGGTGACTGAAAACAAAGAACCGCAGATGAGGTTAAACGGAGTTCTTGAGAAATGAGATAGTTTTTGTAGATATCTAACCTCTGTTTAATTAATAGAGATCCAGACCTTCAACGAAATGCATAAACTTAACTAAATCCATTCACTGTCACGGATTTATTTATTATCTTCGCTACGCATTCAATTGTGAGCTATTTTGTGCCCCGGGCTCCGATTTTTCTCTAATAAACTATTCTATTAAAACTTTTAAGAAGCATTCTTCATGTAGCCGCCATTCTACTTCTGCTAAAATACACACCTTCTCTTTCGGTAAATATTTTTATTGAGGTAGACATTCACATAACTCAAATGAAACAAGCAAAAAAGTGTAAATCATGTTTCACCCCTGCATCTGAATTTCGAAAAGACTCAACAATCGGACTAATAATTTCTCATTCCTGCAATTAATATTCCTTATTGAATTCTTTAATCATTTAATTGTGTTAGTCATATATTTGCAAGTATATGAAAATACTATAATGAAATAATAAGCTCTTTTCTTGAAAATATAACTGATGAGGAGAGTAATATACACAGCGGTTGCTTACAAAAACGCATGTTATTTCGAAGTCTTATTTCCCATTCATAAAATGCATTCACATATTTAAGCATTCCTGCAATAATTTTGATGCCAAAACTTCTCATATCTTTAAATCTTATTGAAATGTTACCAAAAGTGTTTGCTATCTTTTTTTTTATTAAGCTATCATTTACTCTTAAATGATGTATGAATCTAGCTGTTGTTAAAAGCAAATAATTGTTTCTCAGAATTCTTCTTCCTTTTATATATGGCACTTACTTCTTCAATGGTGAACCAGAAAGATTATTGCAACGTCATTTGTTGTAAATATAACAGCGGATTACCCTTTTTCATGTCTGTTACTGGAACTAATATATCTTCAGATTTATAAACCTTTAGAAACTCAAGTCAATAAATTATCAAGAAAGACGTCATAAGATTTCATATTAAAAGAGTAATTAGAAAATTGTTTTCCAAAAAATTTTTTCTTAACGTTCTCCTATTCCTCAGCGCGCATTTTTTAAATATCAAACCTTTCATCCATTAATATTAACACACTGAATACAGAACGTGAGATATTTGTAGAAACTTCAATATTTTACTCTCCTCATCACAAATGTGACGAAAAAAAAAAAAAAAAAAAAAAAAAAAAATGTAAATTTTCTCGTAAAGATAATAATATCCTGAAATAATTCTGCAAAAAATATTACTTTGCTGTTTTTAAAGTCTGGTTTCTTATTTTGTTCAAAATTATTTGCTTTAGAGAAGTATACTGAAGTAAACCTTAGACTAAATTTATGTATTTCTTTTAATTAAGTGAATTGTTGTTATCATATTTCTTAGTATACAAACTCCATAAATGAATGAAGGGAATTCTTTATATAAATATACTTTTGTAATCAAGCAGTGGCGTAAAACTGAAGATACATTAAGGTTTTAACACTTTTTTTGTGAACCTCAACTTTTGAAAATTCATTACTCCGTAACAGTTCACTTTTAATAAACATGTTTGATCATGAAAATAAAATTGTAAAGGAAGTGGTTTTAATATTTATTATTCCTGTCTGACCGCGTGCCTTTTGGAAATGTCTTCCAAGAAGATCTTTTGCAGCGTCAGATCATGAAAACTTAACCACAGGGTTAAGAGAAACCGAACGTTTTTTAACCAAGTCTTCCTTTTGTTGAAAGGCGGCTACGTTGTGTTTTAATAATATGATATATTTCCTGATGTTTTGATTACCTTTTACGCCACTGTTTGAGGAAAACAATTTTTTATGCTTATGTTATATTGAAGTGATTGTTTGATACATGATAAACCATGTGTTTTAAGTGACTTTTGTAAACATGGGATATCAATGCTGTATAAAGAAAAGCGAGCCTAAGTAGAAGTCAAAGCCAATAATTGACAGCTTAAGCTTCGATAGGCAAAAAAGGCATTCGATATCAAATTATAGTTCAAAAATTTGATTTTTTTTCTTGAGAAGATCTCAGAAGATGTTTGAATAATTTCTGCATTTCTTTAACATTTAAAATCTCATCGAGTCATATAATTAAAATAGCTAAAGAAAATATTTCTTTTATACTATTTCTTTCTCAGATGAACTTCGAGAGACATCTGAAAAACGTTTGAATTAAATGAACTGAAAATTTAAAAATGGAAATCATTATCATTCTAGTTTGTTCTATGTATGCATCTCCTATAGAACAGCTGGAAAATAAAGTAATATGCATTTTCTTTGTGGAAAACATCAAATATTTATGTAGCTAAGAAGCTTATAGTAATTGATCTGCTCTTCAACCTATCAGTTAGAAACCATTAAATTGTGCAAGTAAATGCACTAATCAGTATAAGCAAATCTAAATCCTGAAATATAAACATTTTAACTGTATTGCGATATTTTATTTCAGTCTTTAACTGAGAATCTCAGTTCATTTTTAAAGAATTTATCCAATTCAGAAATTGGAATTTAAAGTCCAAACTAGCGAACATCTATTACTTTCCACCTTAAAAATTATTTTAAATGTTTAAAGATCATTAAGAATGCTATGGAAATTATGAAACACTTTTGCTTATCAGTTCTAGTCCATCATAAATATAAACATTCCTAAACGTTGTTTCTACTAAAGATAACAAAAAAGCGTTTCTTAAATAAGGCATCCTGGAGAGGCGAAGAAACAAATTCTTTATCAAACTTCAATTATTAGCTTTGATGACTTTTCTTATAAGGCTTAGTTTTTCTTATCATATCTCATTTCTTCACCTGCTTTCATCTCTCGAATGTAAAATGAATTTAAACCAAATCAAGTCTCAGGCTATAACTCTGTTACGGTCTCAAATGTAGCTGCTTCTAATCTTCTATAGTGATGACACCATTTAAGACTCCTGGTTAAGGTCCCCGTCTAAGTCTTTCATTGCTTTTTTCATTGAAAAGTTTCCAGTTTTTTCTCAATTGTTATCGGTCATTTTATTTTTAAGCTGTATCTTTTGATGTTTCTGTTTTTACAATGACAGTATTTTATTGTCGGAGAAATATTTTTATACACCAGAGTGTTTCCGTGGTATTGGGCAAAACCAGGTGTTTGTATTCCATCGCCCAGTACTGCGGGCATTCTCAATTTGTTGTGTTCATTTCTTGTACATTTTATTGCAAATGGCCGAATTTGTAACGGTAACTTTTTATTTTTTCCTCTCTTTTGAGTGAGTACTAAAACTATAATCTTATTTAACGAATTTTGTAATATAAAACATTTCATTTAAATGGATTGTGATCTTTAATGTGAGAATAAATCTTTTCTTTATTTTTATTTTCTGCTATAATATGCAGTGTGTAGGTCGTGAGCAGAGTAGACGAAAACTGAATTATAATTAGTGCAAGGAAATTGTTTTTCCTTTAATTAATATAAATATGTTGAAATGGCTCGACCTCTGCTCATGCCTTTCCAGCCAATGTTGGTCAGTCAGTGGATTGGTTTTTGCATTTCTGCATATTTGAAATTAATGAATACTTTATTTAGAATATAAGTAAATGTCTCGAACAATCTACAGAAGGCAGGAGACAAGTCAAAAAAGGCATCGTGGAAAATAATTCATGAAAATGATAAGAAAGCTGTGTCTTTTAATGTTAAATGGCATTATTCTCTCTGCGTTTAAATTTTAAATTTGTTTAAAAACCATTTTATAACTGTGTGTGTATATATATATATATATATATATATGTGTGTGTGTGTGTGTGTGTGTGTGTGTGTATCTTCTTACGAACAGCAGAAATCATAGCCACATCCTACTTACTGACTGTATGTATTTAATTTTAATCATTTATAGTTAATCTTGAAGCTATGAATGTGTCTATCGAATGATTTGGCATGCAGTTTCTTTTTGCTGTTTTTTAGAAATGTTTCAGTTTTGTATTGTGTTTTATTATCTTCTCTAAATATTGCTGCAGTTGACTTAGGGCAAAATGAATTGCACCTTTCTTTCTTTTTCAAGTGGGCAATATTATAAGAGAGAAACTAAGCAGTTCATATTTCATGTGAAGCCGAATATTTTTCATGCATCTCCGTTAATGCAAACTGATCGAAATTTGTATCGCACGCATCCGAAAATGCGATCTGTAATCTATTTGATAGAAGTTAGTATGGATCATAGGGAGAACAAAAAAATGGGGGGAACAGATGCAATGGTGATAACGACAACTGTGATATGTTCTTCCTCATGTGTTGATTATAGCACAAATGATTCAGTATAGCACGTATTTTCGGGCAACTTCCCGAGCGATCATTCCACTGATTCCGGGGAGCGTAACAACCGGGAGTCTTGAAGTCATTTTTGTGCAGTAGAGCTGCGAAGCAGCTACATTTCACATCCCTTTATCTAATCTTGTACATAATGCGAATAAACGAAAATCGAGAATCATGTGTTTTAGATCAGGTATGTTTAGTGTGAATACAAACTTTAGAAAAGTCTTGCGCCCGCGTGATCTGTTATTTTACTGTTTGTTTTCTCTTTTTAATACTTCTTATGAATTATTATGTTCCAATTCGGTGATAATGTTAGTTGTTTTGATTGAAAAGTGGCCCCCACGTGTCCGTCGATCTCTCCGCGATTGCCCAGGAGATTGCTATTTTTGTAACAATTGTAGTTTCGCTCGAGGGATCGACAGGGACACTCAACAGGACAATTGTAGCCCTCGTGATCAAGGGCCAAACATTTGGTGCATGTCACTATTAAAAATCCTCAACAAATTCAGTTTCTGTGTCTCTCATTTATTTTACACATCACACGACATTTCAGCTGAACATCATTTCTTTCTAGATGCCGTGATATGGTTACCAACTTCGAAGCGATAATCAAATGAAAAATTTTAAGTAAACCTAAATGTCCTTCATAATTTGCATTTAAATGTTATTCAGAAGAGTTTATGTCCTTCAGATATCTTCAAGGGCTCTCACATTTACTAACTCAAGAGTCGAAAAACCAGCTGTACGAGAATTCCGGGTACTTAAAATGATGAAAACAAATCATTTAATTAAATTCTTTTTCAACAACGAGATAGTCTCATCAGTCAAGTCAAATCAGTTAAGTTTGCTGTTAAAAATGCGATAGTGTCACGAATCCTATCACGTAATATACTATCAGAATTATATTGTTTTGATTTTTAAAAGAAATGTAAAATCTTATTTCCGTCTGAGATATTGAATTTTTCTATAATGGACCTAATATATTTGTAGGCTATTTTCGCTATCAAAAATTAATTTTGAGTTTGGGAAAATTTATGTTCTAAAATAATTCTTGAAATAAAATAAGTATTCAATTTAACATATACTCATAAGTTTTTAATTTTTATCGTCTTGTTCTACAGCTATTATAAGGAAAAGTTAGTGAATTTTGGCTTATATTTGTAAAGTAGAAGAAATTCTTTTCCCTGAAAGTAAGCACCTACAGCTCAGAATTTTTGTATAGTTCAACTCAGAAAGACGACATTCGTATAATAAAACACGGGCATTATGTTTGCTCCAACTCAATTTTAAAAGCGTCTGTAACATTAGATCTTCTTTCTCATTCTCAAAAAAATGAGATTTATTTTATGTTTTTAGCTGCAGATGATTTAGTACTTTATGTCAATTCCAGGTAACTTATGTCAGACCTGACTTCAGTTATTGGCATATTTGAAATACATTATTTTATTTAGTTGTGAAAGCAAAGCACAATAAGAATTAAAATCCGGAAACACGAATGCCGTAAAAAAAATATAAACATACAAATGTTTCAGGAAAAATTCAGAAATCTTGACAATTTTGTCGCTTTTGCATTTAAGTGAGTAATTAGACGCGCAAAAATATCCATAGAAAGTTTTGATTCTTTCAGTTTTAATAGATATGAATCCACCTTAAAACAAAGCGCCCAGGAATGATTTGTTTGTTTTTTCTTACTAATAGTATATACAAAAAATACAACCCTTATCTGAATATAGTAAATCACTAACTTCAGTATAAAGATAATCACAGTTTCAACTGGTCAGCGCAGTATAAATGAACTATATATCATAAATTAATGACGCAGAAAAATTCATTTGAAATCTGTGATAATAAACTCAAACCCAAGTTCATTTAACAGTGATAATAAATGATGAAACAGTTTGGCAACAAACTGGCAACTAAAAAGCCTACTATAGTACTGCAAATTTGAGAGAAGCACTAAGATTTTGAAACAACAAATTTTTTTTTCGATTGTTTAGAAACATAGCCTGTGATTAGGCATACATGCGTGGTGCTCCAAATTCGTTTATCGCTTTTCTGCAATAAATCATTTAAGTCACCTTTAAGCACCAGTATATGATTAGATGCTTTGAAAAGAACAGTAGTTTTACTCGTCTGATTTCTTGGGTATGTTCAGTGTCTGATTACGTGTAGAAAACGTGAAAAACGGTTATCTCAAATACCTTGAAACTACAATTTGATTCGCTTCAGATCTGCCATAATAATAGTTAAAAATAAAGAGATAGCTTTCTTTTCATACTTAACTGTAAATATAAAATGGGCAATAAATTTACAAAATTTATCTTAACAGGAAACCAAATGAAGTAATTTAACTTAACAGGAAATTAAGTGCAGTAAAATGCTTACTTTTATATTACTTTTACTTTCGATAAAAAATATATTTGATTATACTGTAAAGCTTTATATGTAACGGAAATAATTTTATTACGTATAATACACAAAGCGTGAACTGGAAAAATAAGAAGTATTAAATTTGCTCAAAATTAAAACATTTGAAATTTATTTCAGAAAATAAATTAAAGTATATTATGTAATTTTTTTCTCTAACTGACAGAAAATAATGACATACTATAACGATTTTGCCATAAAATGCCACTGGTGGCCCTTGCCGGCGTGAACGTGTTAAACGCTATTGATCTCCAACTTAATGTCTGAAGACGTTCTTAGAAACTTCATTTTGTTATCGGCCTGATCTTGCTGCGATTCTTGTGGTGCCATCAGCACTACAACCGATCATCTCTGGCGCACGTAACGAAAGCAGTAAATCGATTTCATTGATTAGGTGTTGCTGCCAGTCTTGTTATCATATATTTAAGGTATAATAAATGTTCTTTCTGACTGTGATAATACATGACCACACGCTTGCTAGCATCAGCAGAAGGTGTCTGAAGTGTGTACCATTACCTCTTGGTTCGCACAATTCCAGAATCCCTGTTAGTTTAAGACCTTGTTCAATATTACTAGCCCTCAAGTGAACGCTTCCCTCCATAGCTCGGGAAATGGAGATCATGTAGAATAGTCAAAAACCACATGGCCAAAAATTACTCAAGACAAAAATTCGAGGTTTTACAAGAGACGCAGTGACATGCCGTAACAAATCATTCGAAATGAAAATGATACACTTTATTGTAGCAAACCAAGTAACCTGTATATTTAACATCAGGCTAATATAAAATCTTAAAATTCTTTGCTCAGAACTTAGTACTTGAAAATATGTTAAGTTTATCTAACTTAATCATTCCTTAGGTTTATGATATTTCTACATCTAGTAATGTATTACACACTGCATACTGTCGCGAAAAATGGTGCGACTGAGGAAACTCCCTGTAGTTTTTTTTTATGTAAGCTATTAATGAAATTATATATAAAGCAATGCAGTTAGTAATATTAATGATCTTTCTTCGGTGTATATTTTTCTCCCTGATCTCACTTCACCTTTTCTTTACTGTTCTTGTGCTCTTAGAATTAATTTCACAGTTTGAAAATTAATCTTTTAATTCTGACTTCTTCAACTACCTGTTGAATTTGCTCTGTTAATTGATTTCAAATTTTCTTCTAAGCCACAGAAACTGATCAGTCATCACTTGAACTAATTCTCTTCTCGTACTTCAAATCACCTGAAGAGAAAGAGCTGAAAAATAAATGATTATTTCGATGTGCAATGTTAATTAAGTTATCGAGTGTTAGAGCTATACCTGCCTATTAAGGTAGTACATGCATAATGCATCCTAAACGAAAATTTACATAGTTACTTAAGAGGTTTTCAAATTTAATCGATTACTTAGAGTCAGTTACTACCCCTATGTTTAAAATTACTACTAATTAAAAAATATAATTAAAATTCCTTAAATTTACTCTGTTATTTTCTACTTGGGGGATAAAGCGTTATCCCATAATTTCATTATTCAGTATCTATGATTATATGTAATAACTAAGCAACCTTAGCTTAAAGAGTAAATCTTCAGTTTAAACACTTAGGAAACTTAATTTTTACTTTGATATTTTATAGTTTTTCAAATGGCACCGGGGCCTCTGTATTAAAAAGTGAGAGAAATCTCTTCTTCACAGTCCCCTATTTTGTGATTTGATGCTAATTTGACGTTTAGTGCTCTAGGTTTGCACGTATTGAATAGTTCAGTGTGCTGCTAAATATAATAAGCATTTAAAAAATTCTTATATAATTGTTAAGAAAATTTTAATGATTCTACTTCAACTATGAGTGGAATTACACAGCAAAAAGATAAAAGAAATAATTCAATAGAATGAGCTGAGGCTCACATTCTTTCCACTGCTGATACCTTTATAAGGAACGTTTTCCTTCCTTAGTGAGTGCCTTCGTGGTGTAATTTGTAGCACATTCAGCTAACAGTAAAAATATCCCAAATTTGGATCACGTAGTCGATATCGCTGTTTTCATGTTTCATGCTCCAAACAAGTAATTGATCATTCTACAATAGCACCCGAACAGGGACAGAGTGTAAGGAACTTTCCCCTTCTTCACTGCATACCTTCGTAGTGTAACTGGTAGCATATCCGGATAGCAATTGGAAGATCCAAAATTAAGATTTTGGTGATACTATCTCTGATTTTACGTATTTTCTGCTCTAATTAAATACTTTTAATTGCTTTACGGTGGCTATAAAATCTATTTAATTTTTTTTTAAACCAGGAAATCGAAGAAATCACCATTGCCTTCGCCGCGATTCAAACTCCGAATCTTCCGATTGCTAGATGGACTCCTATCATTTTCACCACAAAAGGACGCAGTAAGGCGCACACCTTCATATGGTATCCCTAGTTAAGAGTAACAAAACATAGATAATAATAATAATCATTCTGCATTTATTTGGTTAACATAATTCTATGAACAGGTAACTACGTTATTTTTTTTTTTCAGTCTGAGCATCATATACACACCCGTGTATATATAGGTGATTTAAAATTGGATAAATAAACGTGAAAGAAGAGTCAGGAATACCAAAACAAACTGCTTTTACAGAGAAGCATGTAGATAAAAACGTCCCCTTTGCGTGCCAGAGGTTATTGTTTGTCAGAAATCGCACTGGTCACGATCAACCACTTTGCCTGCCACTGATGGCTCTCAAAATCCATACAACGAGAGCGTCCGAGAGCCGTAGCTTCTAATTCTGGCATTGTCGCAAACGTACCTACGTGTCCGTGAGAGCACAGGAATTCTTGAATATATTCTCAGATCCATGTGTCGACTTTTCCAGGTATGTGTCCCCGCGATTAAATGAACTATGAGTACTTCCTCTGAAATAATAAGCATACTGTGTATATTATCTTATTTGCGTTCCTTTGCAGAGTCTCATTCGTAAACTAAGACTCTAAATAGAACTAAGTAACTTATCGTTTAGCAACTACATAAGCAAACAAAAATGTAAGAAGGATGTAAAAAATCCTGTTATTAAGAGCTCAGCTGAACAGAAGGCATTCCTTATGCTTACA